TCAGTTGGTTAAGTGTCTACCTCCTGATTTTCGCTCAGGTCAGGATCTCATGATTTGTGGTTTGAGCCCCCTATAGGGCTCTGTGCTGACAGCGTGAAGTCTGCTTGGGACTCTCTCTCTTCCTCTCTCTCTGCCCTTTGCCACTCACACTCTGTCTTCCTTTCTCTCTCAAAATAAATCAAATACTTTTTTTAATGTTTATCTATTTTTTGAGAGACAGAAAGAGACAGAGCGTGAGCAGGGGAAGAGGAGAGAGAGAGGGAGACACAGAATCTGAAGCAGGCTCCAGGCTCTAAGCCGTCAGCACAGAGCCCAACCCAGGGCTCAAGCCCACAAACCATGAGATTATGACCTGAACCAAAGTCAGACGCTCAACCGACTGAGCCACCAAGGAGCTCCAAATCAAATAAACATTAAGAAAAAAAAAAAAAAAGACAGATCAAAAAAAGTTTAATCTAGCTGCATGTAATTTTAACCAGTACTTTCACCCTAACTCCTCAATACATCAGGGACATCTGAATACTCATGACGCACAGGTATTTTTTAATTCCCTCAGCAAGTGATATGATAAAACAGCAGGCAGATGCACACAATATATAGTAGACTCTATGTGCAAAATCATACCATTTTACCACAGTACTTATCCTTTTTCAAATAGGAATGCCTGTATTCCTGTATGTTAAGTGAGCACATGTATGTGACTCCACAACACTCTTGGAGATTTAGAGAGGTCTTCTATAAACGTGTTTTGTGTATGTGTGCTTTATGATAGATGATTACTTCCAGAGTTTTTGCTTATTTAACCTTGTTCTCAGTCATTTGTAGATAGTTGCAGTTACTAGACAAGTGACCTCTTTAACTTGCTTAATTAGCAAGTTAACTTGCTTAATTAGCAAGTTAAAACTGTCTTTTGCAGTTTTCTTCTTCACTGGGGCAAAGTAGTACAGTTATACTATAGTGGAAGGTACCTGAGCTTAAATCCTGGCTCTAGCCAACCCCCCGCCTCCCACAAAAAAAGTATCCAAAACATATAAAGAACTTACACAATTCAACACCCAAAAAACAAATAACCCAATTTAAAGATGGGCAGAAGGGGTGCCTGGGTGGATCAGTCGGTGCCTGGGTGGATCAGTCGATTAAGTGTCTGATTTCAGCTCAGGTGGTGATCTCACAGCTCATGAGCCCGCTTTGGATCTTCTGTCCCCCCCTCTGTCTCTGCCCCTCCTACTCTTGTTCTCTCTCTCAAAATAAATAAACTATAAATAAATAAATAAATAAATAAATAAATAAATAAATAAATAAAAATGGGTAGAAGACGTGAACAGACACGTCTCCAAAAAAGAACTGGGGGCGGCTGGCTGGCTCAGTCGGAAGAGTGTGCAACTCTTGTTCTCAAGGTGGTGAGTTTGAGCCCCATGTTGGGTATAGAGATTACTAAAAAAAATAAATAAATAAACTTAAAAGCAAGAAAAGACATCCACATGGCCAACAGACACATGAAAAGATGCTCAACATTGCTCATCATCAAGAAAATGCAAATCAAAACTACACTGAGGGGAACTTGGGTGGCTTAGTCGGTTAAGCATCCAACTCTTGGTTTTGAGACAAGAAGAAACAACAGGTGTTGCCGAGGATGTGGAAAGCCATCCTCGTGCACTGTTGGTGAGAAAGCAAACTGTGCAGCCACTGTAGAAAACAGTATGAAGGTTTCTCAAAATATTAAAAATAGAACTACCCTGGGGGTGCCTGGGTGGCTCAGCTGGTTAAGCATCTGACTCTTGGTTTTGTTTGGCTCAGGTCACGATCTCACAGTTCATGGGATCGAGCCCCACAATGGGCTCTGTGCTGACAGTGTGGAGCCTACTTGTGATTCTCTCTCCCTCTGTGTCTGCCCCTCCACCGCTCACAAGCTCTCTCTCTCTCTCTCTCAAAAATAAATAAATAAACATAAAAAAAATAGAACTACCCTATAATCCAGTTATCACACTACTGGGTATTTACCCGAAGAAAACAAAAACACTAATTCAAAAGGATATGTGCACCCTACTTTCATTGCAACATTATTTACAGTAGCCAAATTATGGAAGCAGCCCAAGTGTCCATCAATAGATGAAAGGATAAAGATGGATAAATATGGCTGAATATTATTCAGCCGTAAAAAAGAATGAAATCTTGCCATTTGCAACAACATAGATGGAGCCAGAGTATCATGCTAAACAAAACCAGTCAGAGAAAGACAAATACTGTATGATTTCACTCACGTGGAATTTAAGAAGCAAACAAAAAAACCCACAAGCAAAGGGGAAAAAGAGAGAGAGAGACAAACCAAGAAACAGCTGGAGCTAACAGTTCTCTTAGCTACAGAGAACAAACTGATGGCTACCAGAGAGGCCAGATGGGTAAAATAGGCGATGGAGATTAAGAAGTGCACTTATAATGATCACCAGGTGTTGTATGGATCTGTTGAATCACTATATTGTACACCCAAAAGTAGTGTAACACTGTATGTTAACTACACTGGAATTTTAAATGAAAAAAAAAAAATAGGGGCACCTGGGTGGCTCAGTCATTTGAGCTACTGACTCTTGATTTTAGCTCAGGTCATGATCCCCAGGGTCGTGGGATTAAGTCCTGTGCCGGGCTTCTCGTTTAAGAAGATCCGGCTTAAGATTCTCCCTCCCTCTTCCCCTCTGCCCTTCTTCCTCCCTCACACTCCTTCTCTAAAATTAAAAATATATATATTTTTTAATATTTGTTTAGAGAGCGAATGTGTGTGCTTTGTGTGCACATGCAAGAGGGAGAGGGGTGGAGAGAAAGGGAGAGAGGGAATCCCAAGCAGGCTCTGTACGGTCAGCACAGAGCTGGATGCAGGGCTAGATCTCACTAACCCAGGGATCAGGACCTGATGGTCCTGGGATGACTTGGATGACTGGGGAGCCTGGGTGGCTCAGTCACTGGAGCAACCGACTTGGGCTCAGGTCATGATCTCACAGTTCATCAGTTTGAGACCCATATCAAGCTCGTTGCTGTCAGCGCAAAGCCCACTTCAGATCCTCTGTCACCCTCTCTCTACCTGTCCTCTGCTCACACTCTCTCAAAAAGAAAAAAAAAAAAAAGAACATAAAAAAAAAAAAAAGAGTTGGTGCTTAACTGACTGAGCCGCCCAGGCAACAACTGCCTCCAAAAACCTTTTAAATAAAATAAATAAACTGTTTTAAATCCTGGCTATGATGCACCTGACTAGCTGAGTAGAGCATGCCACTCTTGATCTTGCAGATGTGAGTCTGAGCCCCACGTTGGCAGAGAGCCTACATAAATAAATTAAAAAAAAAAAAAAATCCAGTTCTACCACTTTATTAGACTGACATCGGGCAACTTCCCCATACCTGAGCCTTAGTTCCTTCATCTGTAAAATGGAATACAAAAAATATCTATGCTATGGAATTGTAAGGATTAAATAATACATGTAGGGGCACCTGGGTGGTTCAGTCGGTTAAGCTTCCGACTTTGGCTCAGGTCATGCATGATCTCACTGTTCATGAGTTTGAGCCCCCCATGGGGCTCTGTGCTGACAGCTCAGAGCCTGGAGCCTGCTTCGGATTCTGGGTCTCCCTCTCTCTCTGCCTCTCCCCGGCTCGCACTCTGTCTCTCTCTCAAAAGTAATAAATAAACATTAAAAAAATTTTTAAAAATATATATGTAAACAGCATATTATTGGGCCTGATACTTGGTAGGCACTGAATTACTATTACTTTTTTTTTTTTTTGAGAGGGAGAGAGTGAGAGGGCCCAAGGGAGTAAGGGGCAGAGAGAGACAGAGAGAGAGAGGGAGAGGGAGAATATCCCATGAAAGTCAGAGAAAGAGAGAGGGGAGAAGAGAAAGAGAGAGAGAGAGAGAGAGAGAGAGAGAGAGAGAGAGAGAGAGAGAGAAGCAGGGCTGACCCGAAGCAGGGCTCGAGCTCACTAACGGTGAGATCATGACCTGGGAGGAAGACAGATGCTTAACTCACTGAGCCACCCAGGCGCCCCTCAATGACTATTATTAATGACTTCTTTTCATTTCTCCCAGGTATGGTATAATGTTTGTGGAAGTTTCTGCATTTTGGGGAGTATCTTAAAATTTGAGACTTGAAGCATCACCTCATGGCCCTTCATGTACCTTACTTTGCTCACGAACAACCCCCTTCTTGCACATATACGGTCCCTATCTCTCGTGTCCTTTCTCCAAACTCCAGATAACATCAGAGGCTCCACACTTAATAATCTGCCTTGATTTGAGAAGGGAGTTCGGTAGACCTCGGCCCTAGGTCCGTGTTGTGCTCCTAATTTGCCCACATAATCTGTGCCAGGTCACTTCATCTCTTCAGCGAGCCTTAAGTGTCCCCAAGTGTAAAAGGAGAGCGCCAGGCTAAACCACCGCCATGGTCCCTGCAGATTCTAAATTGGGAAGATCTTGCCAACTCACCAGGAAAGATTACAAGTGACTGTAAATCCCTCCCACAGGCTGTAAATCCCTAAACGCTGTCCCCAAACCCAGCTCAAACGCCACTGCTTCCATCTTCTGCACGCCTCGCCATTCTGTACAAATCTCCAGCGTCCACATTAGACCCTGAACCCTCAGGAGGTGGGACCTCACTTAACGCGTCAGGAGCGCTACCCTCTCGGAAGCTCTTGCCGCAGTCCCTACCTCAGAGGGTGACAGTAAAGACTGAATGGAACCAAGTACCCAGGGCGCTTAACAGTGAGTGCCTGGCACAAGGTTGGCGCTCAAGAGACGTCGGTTACCATCAGTGTTCAGCAAATCCCATCCCCTCCTTGAGCTTCGGTTTCCTCAAGTAAAATGAGGCTGGACGGACAATGCCCAAAGCCCCCAGGAGCCTCAGAGCTGGGGGTCCCAGGGAGGGCCTGAGAGGCGCACGCTGCGGAAGGCAGGGCAGCCCGGGAAGACTGGTGGCCCTGAGAGTCCCGAGTGCAGCCCGGCGCCGAGATCCGTCCTCTCACCTCCCGGGCTCAGCAGAAGCTTCAGCGCCTCCAGAATGCTCTCCAGACCGCACGTTGCCAGAGCCCCGCTGCCCGCGACCGGTCGGCGGGCCGCCATGACTGGAGTGGAACGCGCCACTAGCGACCTGCTCAATCGCCTCTGCGGACTGGCGTCGCCGCCATACTGAATGTGGCGGAAGGCGCGAGGGGTGGGGCCCGCCGCAAGGGGCGGGGCCGACGTGGTCGGAGCGCCCTTTCACAAAAGTTTTCAGTCCCCGTTTAGTCCCTTAGGCAGAAAAAACAGTTCACACAACCAACCTACATGCACAATTTCAGAAACTCAATATGATTAACCACTAAGTAACGAAGAAGAGAGAAGTATAGTTTATCATAAAATGATACCTATTTCACTATGAAAATAATTGGGTACCGGAGCACCAAAAGACAGTGAAATAAACAGATGCTGTGCCTACTTATGATGAAGTTTGGATACATAAACATCACTCAACTGAATATTTTTTAATTTCTTTATGAATGATATTTAAAAACAAGTGCTGGGGGTGACTAGCTGGCTCAGTCAGTAGAGCATCCGACGCCTAACCTCAGGGTCATGAGTTCAAGCCCCAGATTGGATGAGGAGCCTACTTTCAAAAGAAATTAAAAATAAGTGCTAAACACAGACACATGCATTTGAATAACCACAAATATTGTTATTGGTGATACGATTTTTGAAACGTAATAATTACCGGTCCCAGTAAAATGTTGATCTTTGCTGTGTTTATATTCTTGGGAAATTCTGGGTACATTAAAATTGTGCCCTCCCCACACCCCATTGTGTTTTTTAATTTTTTTAAATGTTTGTTTATTTTTGAGACAGAGAGAGAGACAAAACATGAACGGGGGAGGATCACAGAGAGGGAGGCACAGAATCCGAGGCAAGCTGCAGGCTCCAGGGGAGTCAGCACAGAGCCCACCTGGGGCTCGAACTCACAAACTGAGAGATCATGACCCCAGCGGAAGGCGGAGGCTTAACCGACTGAGCCACCCAGGGGCCCCCACCCCATTGTGTTAATAGGTAAAACAGAATTCATTTGAGAGTCACCCCAACAGGGACAGGCTTTCACCTACACGAATGCTGGTGGGACATTCTAAAGTCATGTTGTCTGAAAGTCATGCTACAAATCTAGGAGAGTACTTCTGAGGGCAAGACCTTTAGCTTCCCTTCAGTAAAAGTCAATAATCATTGTCACGGCCACCCCCACCACCCATTTTCTGAAAGCTCTCCCAAACAGGCTGTCTTGTTTCTCCTTGAGATTCCCTGAACTAGCCTGAGTTCATCAGGTCTGATGACTGCCCGTCAGCATTTACCTGTTGGAAGTCTTAGGAACTGGGATGTGCTCCACTGCGAGCCCCTGCCACTGGAGAAAGAAGTTGGTCACTTAACTCCTTTCTCAGACCCCTCCTGGTCACTCTCAGGACTTTAGGCTCCAGCCCAAACCCATCAACCATTTCCTACTCTCTAAAGTGAATAGGTAACAGAACCATTTGCACGAAGTTATCTTAGGGAGTTAAAGCGATACTGTTCTTAAGCATTTAGCAATGTCTCCCACAGAGGGGATAATTAAAAAATTATACGTGTGTCTTACTCTCCACCTCTTCCTCAAATAAAATCCTGCCAAAATATCTTTAAATTGGAAAAACATTTTTGAAGGGGAAATAAATGACCTGCGAAATTACTACAATGCTCTCTTTATTGTGTTATACATCTCTTTGTCAGTAGACAATTTTTCTCCAGTTATGTGTGTATCCAAGTTCATTTTGAGGAATAAAAAATGTAACGTCTCCCTCTACAGGCCCCCCCCCAAAAAGCCTAAAACAAAACAAAAAACTTAAGGTCATTTCAAAATATTAAACATTTAGTGAGTTTGGCATAAAGATTTGTGTGGGAACGGCCCAGCCCTAAGATTTGTGGGCACTAGGGTAGAAATACAAGTGGAGGCCTTCATATCATATGCTTAAGTTTCAAAGTATAAATCAAACGAATAGCCTGTTAAGTAAAATATCTTTTGTTCTCCTACTTTGAAAAATATACCAGCTTTCAATTGAGAATTCTCAAATTTGGCCTCAGAACTCCATATTGGATGTGGCAGTATGACAGAAGTCAGCCTCCCACCTCTGGCCTGACCCCTTTCCTTCTCATTAGTGTCTCCATCCTGCATTCACACATGTGGCTATCCCAGCCTGGATGTGCACACACCTCTAAGAAACTGCCCCTTGGCACCCCCTTAGTGTTAGGAATACACGAACAGGGTTCAGCTTCCAGAGGGAAGACCAAGCGAGGAGGCCCACGTAGCACTGGAAGCAGGCTCAGGGATGATTGGACAGGGAAGTCCAGAGTCCCAGAACTTGGAGTGAGGTCTGGAGGGAGGATTTGGGGTGGGCAATTCCCCTAGGACTGACGTATTTCTTGTCCGTGAAGATGCGAATCATGGAGGAGGCCAGGTGGGGCCTGTAAGGATGGGACCCAGAACGGAGGCCCTACTAGACAAGCCTAAGGGCGATACTGGTGTGGGAGTTACAAAAGATGGTAAGAGGGGTCCCCAGAGCTAATCATCCTTTATCCCCAAACCAGATATTGGCAAAGGATTTTATTATTTGGACTCTAAAAGGCTCATATACCACAAAATGGCATGTTCAGTTTTTTTTTAATTTTTGTTTTGTTTTGACAGAGTGTGAGCAGGGGAGGTGCAGAGAGAGGGAGGGACAGAGGATGCAGAGCAGGCTCTGCCCTGACAGCCGAGAGCCTCATAAGGGGCTTGGACTCAGGAGCAGTGAGATCACAACCTGAGCTGAAGTCGGACGCTCAACCGACTGAACCACCCCAGGTGCCACTCATGCGTATAATTTCAAAAGCAGTGTCAAAAAGATCCTATAAAAATTTTCCAGCAAAAAAATATATCCCAAGTAGAATATTTGGTGCATCTTAATACATATGATAGGATGTCAGAGGAGTGCCTAGGGCCTATAAGTTGATAAATAGGCTCTGCATCTGAAAAAAAGGAAGCGTTCTCAAGCTTCTCCTGCCCCCACAAAATCATTCAAATTGGCTTTTATTTTTTTATTTTTATTAAAAAAATTTTTTTTAACGTTTTATTTATTTTTGAGACAGAGCATGAACAGGGGAGGGGCAGAGAGAGAGGGAGACCCAGAATTGGAAGCAGGCTCCAGGCTCTGAGCCATCAGCCCAGAGCCCGACGCAGGGCTCGAACTCACGGACCACGAGATCGTGACCTGAGCTGAAGTCAGACACTTAACCGACTGAGCCACCCAGATGCCCCTCAAATTGGCTTTTAACTACCCTACTACTTCCTTAGAATCCGGTATTTACACTTACAGGATTTTAGTTTATAGAAATTGAATTTTGGCAATCCCCTCCTCGTTTTGCTCTGGGCAAACACATTAGAAGAGCTGGGAGACTCTCGGGCAATCATGCTGTGAGATACCCATCACGACAAATATTCCAGAAGAGCTACATCGGAGAGGCTGCGGCTTCCCCACAATGAGCCACCCGGGAATGTTCAACACACACACAGTCTGTATTCATGAAAAACGTATTCCATTGATTTCAAGTCAACCAACAAGGAGCCCATTATCAGGGACTTGGGGGACAGCAGCTCAACAAGATACCCCAACCTGCTGGGGCTGCTTGCCTCAACCCAGAGAACTAATGAGGATAATGGCACCCTGTAGTTATCGATTGTCTTACAGTAACAATTCTCAGTAAAGACGCCAGCAAATTAAGTGTTCTTATGGGTACTTATCTTCTAAAGCCACATGTGATGACTGGAGTGGTTGCATGCCATTTCCCATAAATGACCCTTAAATTCTTACCCTACTCTTGTCAAAACTTTACTCACTGTGATAATCCTCACCACTCCCTCCACAGAGAAGGGGCCCCTGAAACTCACCTAATTTTCAATTTTTTAAAGTGATTTTATTTTTAGGGCTTTTGTTTTTTAAAGATTTTAAAGTAATCTCTACACCCAACATGGGGCTCAAATTTACAGCACTGACATCAAGTCTCATGCTCCACTGACTGAGTGAGCCAGGCACCCCAATTTTCATGTAATTTTTTAAAGCTTATTTGAGAGAGGGAGAGAGGGGGAGAGGGGAGGGAGGGAGACAGAGACAGACAGACAGACAGAAGGAGGAAGGGAGAGAGGGGGGAGCATAGAGAATCTCAAGCAGGCTCTGCCCTGTCAGCACAGAGCTCCATGTGGGGCTCAAACACACTAACTGTGAGGTCATGGCCCAAGCCTGGATCTAGATCTTAACCGACTGAGACACCTGGATGACCCTTCATTTACTTAAAAAATTTTTTTTAGTGTTTACTTATTTTTGAGAGACAGACCACAAGCGCGCGGGGCGGGGGAGGGGGGTGGCGGAAGGAGGGAGGGAGGGAGAGAGAAAATCAGAAGCAGATTCCAGGCTCTGAGCTGTCAGCAGAGAGCCTGACGTCCCTTTATTTTCTTTTCTTAATGTTTATTTTTGACAGAGAACGAGCATGGGAGGGGCAGAGAGAGGGAGACACTAAATTAAAAAAAATTTTTAATGTTTATTTACTTTTGAGAGAAAGAAACAGAGGTGTGAGCGGGGATAGTGCAGAAAAAGGGAGACACAGAATCCGAAGCAGGCTCCAGGCTCTGAGCTGTCAGCACAGAGCCCAACGTGTGGCTTGAACTCACAGACCGCAAGATCGTGACCTGAGCTGAAGTCAGACACTTAACTGAGTCACCCAGTCGTCCCCCTTCATTTATTTTAAAGGAAGGGGTTTCTCTCTTTAGTACCACTCTTTGGCATCAATCAGATATTTATCATAGAGGAAGAACTTTTCTCTATCCTCTTAGGTTCTGAACAGAAAGGTGTGTGAATTAAACAGACAAAAGATTAGCAGAAGACAGATTTTTATTCACATCCAAGGGAGTTCATAGGAAAATGTGACTCAAGAAGTGATTACAATTTGGGGCTTATATTCCATCTTAATAGGGGAAGGGGAGAAACAGCTTACATCCCGTCTTACTAGAAAAAGGGCACTTACGGGAAAACACGTGACTTTGAGAGAAGATCAATGAGATGGGAGATATGATTTCTGTCACACTATCTGTTTGGGTGATTTCTTATCCTGAGGTGCCAATTTCTAGTCTCTGGTGGTAGGAGTCAATCCTCCCTACTTATGAAACTCCTTGGGAGATGCTTTAGACTGCCAAATCCGTTGAAGAGGCTCTGCTTTTAGGTAGATAAAGGGGAGTCTTTGGGAAAAAGCCTCTTCACAGTGCTGTATTCTGGATCCTTCATTTCTGTTTCAACGGACAGAGGCTCTTTACTGTCTTGGGTACCCTCCCCAGGACAGCTCATCACCCCTGCAAACAGATGCCATCTTCACACAACACCGCTTTCCATCGCATACTTCTCCTGCTCACAACACTTGAGTTGTGCTCTCTGACCCACTAAATCCAGTCCAAAACACAACGGTTGGCCTTTTCTCTCCAAACACGCTGCGTCCACTTAAGTGATTCTCTCTACCCGAACTCCTTTGTTGTGCCCCTTATTCAATAATAAAAACAAGAGCTCACATTTAACAGACCACTACCATGTGCCAGGCACTCCTCTATAAATGCTTTATACACATCAACGCTTCCTTCGGAGATAAGGAAATCGAGGCATCGAAAGGTGAAGTAACTTGCCTAAGCTCACAGGTGGAAAGGACAGGATCAGGATTGGAATCCAGGTTGCACGGCTCCAGGGTCTGTCTTCTCCACATAACTGCCTTGTCGGTACCCGCGGAACCAGCCAGAGGGAAACCGAGGCGCTGTTTTCCAGGCTCGATGTAAACCCCTTCTCTGTAGCCTTTCTCAGAAGTCACGTGACCTGACTGGTTATAGCCCTTTGCACGTGGTGGTACTTTGTAAACAGTTTAATTCTGTATAGAACCATTTTATCATTATTTGTCCTCATTGTAGTTTTTTCCCCTGACCTTTTTTTATTGTGGCCAAATAGAAACAACGTAATGCCAAATCTGGCGTCAGGATGTTTTTCTCTCATTTTCTTCTGAGGGTTTTACAGCTGTAGCCCTTATGTTTTAAAAAGTCTTTCATTTGGAATTTATTTTTTTGTATATGGTATAACAGTATGACTAATTTCATTCTTTTGCATATGGACACCCAATTTTCCCAGCACCATTTGTTGAAAACACTGTCCTTTTTGGCAGAACATAAGGAAAATAGTCAATGATATTGTAATAGTGATGCAACAGGACAGATGGCAACTACACTTGGAGTGAACATAGCATAATGCATAAACTCGTCAAATCACTAAGTTGTAACACCTAAAACGAATGTAACACTGTGTCAACTATAATAAAAACATATAAAGTTTATTTTTGAGAGAGCGTGAACACAGGCGAGTGGGGGAGGAGCAGAGAGACAGGGAGAGAGAATCCCAAGCAACCCCCCCCACCCCCCAATGAGAGGGAGACACAGAGTCCGAAGCAGACTCCAGGCTCTGAGCTGTCAGCACAGAGCCCGACGTGGGGCTCAAACCCACAAATCGGAGGATCATGACACAAGCTGAAACCAAGAGTCTGATAAACAAATGAGCCACCCAAGTTCCTCAATACTGTGCGCACGTGCACACGCGCACACACACGCACACACACACGCAATTTTTGTGTTATCTGCCCCCCCCAAAAAAACTGTCCTTTTCCCAATGGTCTTAGCACTCCTGTAGAGTATCAGTTGACCATATATATGAGGGTTTATTTCCAGCTTCCTAATTTCTCTCCAACTTTTAATTGTGAAATACTTCAAACTTGAAGAAAAACCAAAATAGTATGTCAACACTTACATGCCCTTCACCTAGATTTAGTCATTATGAACATTTTGTCACATTTGCCTTCGTGCTACCACTCTTCACACTTTTTTGTTGAATCATTCTTAATTTCCAGATGCAACTAACACTTCATCCCTAAATTCATCATCATTTATCTCCTAATAAGGTTCTCTTAGTGAACTATGCCCCCAAGAAAACTAATGTTTAGGGGCATATGTGTGGCTCAGTCGGTTAAGTATCTGAATCTTGATTTTTGGCTCAGATCACGATCTTATGGTTCATGAGTTCAAGCCCCTCCTTATGCTCCGGGCTGACAATGCAGAACCTGCTTAGGAGTCTCTCTCTCTCTGCCCCTCCCCGACTCATGCTTTCTCTCTCAAAATAAACTTAAAATTAAAAAAAAAAAAAGTTTATGGGGTGGCTGGGTGGGTTAAGAGTCTGACTTCAACTCCGGTCATGATCTCACAATCTGTGAGTTCGAGCCCCCCGTCAGGTTCTGTGCTGACAGCTCAGAGCCTGGATCCTGCTTCAGATTCTGTGTCTCCCTCTCTCTCTGCTCCTTCCCCCACTTACACTCTCACTCTGTCATAAACAAACATTAAAATAAAAGTTTATTCAGGAATATAATCTACTCTACTTATTACAATTTGCCCAATTTCAAAAAAAAAAAAAAAAGTCTTTTATGGATCTTAAATTTTCACTCCAGGACCCAACCAACCAAGGTTTCAATATTGGAGTCTCTCAAACCACACACAGAATTACCATGTGACCCAGCAATGCTCCTCTCAGGTTAATAACCAGAATTGAAAACAGTTTTTGTAAGCAAGCGTTCACTGCAGCATCATTCACAATAGCCACAAGGTGGAAACAACCCAAGATAAATGGATATATAACAACATGTGGTATACATGCGCATGATGGAATATTGCTCAGCCGTAGAAGGAATGAAGGGCTGATACAAGCTGCAGTGTGGACAACCCCTGAACACATTAGGCTACATGACATCACCAAGTTTAAAAGGACATAAATTACATGACACCACTTACATGAAATACCTAGAATAAATTCATAAAACAAGGTAGAATGGAGGTAACTGGGGCTGAGAAAGGGGAGAACGGGGAGTTACTTATTGCCTATGGTTATAGAACTTGTTTGGGATGATGACGAGGTTCTGGAAATAGAGATGAGGGTTATACATGCACTTAGCATCACTGAATTGCATGCTCAAAATCCACACACATTCAGTAGAAACCATACTTCCAATTTTGATCTTTTCCTGGGCTAGTGATACGTGGTCGGACTTTCTTGTGATGCTGGGCAGTGAGTGGCAGCCACGGCTTGTCAGTTCTGTGATCAGGAAGGTAAGCAACAGACACACTTAACCATTCCATTTCTCGCTGTCCATATTCAATAAATGACACGAGCTCTTCAGCACTTTATTATTATAAAAGAGGTTTTGTGGGGGCACCTGTGTGGCTCAGTCAGTTAAGCATCTGACTTCGGCTCAGGTCATGATCTCACGGTTCATGAGTTCGGGCCCCACATCAGGCTCTGTGCTGACAGCTCAGAGCCTGGAACCTGCTTCGGATTCTTTGTCTCCCTCTCTCCCTGCCCTTCCCTGCTCACGCTCTCTCTCAAAAATAAACAAACATTAAAAAAAAAATAAAAAAGGTTAATGTGAGGGACACTTGCGTGGCTCAGTTGGTTAAGCATACACACTCTTGATTGATTTCAGCTTAGGTCATGGTCTCATGGTTCATGGGATCGAGCCCCTTATAGGGCTCTATGCTGACAATGTGGAGCCTGCTTGGGATTCTCTTTCTCTCTCTCTGCCCCTCCCTCATTCATGATGTACTTTCAAAATAAATATTATTTTTTTTTTACATTTATTTATTTTTTGAGAGACATAGAGAGACAGAACACAAGTTGCGGAGGGGCAGAGAGAGGAGACACAGAATCTGAAGCAGGCTCCAGGCTCTGAGCACAGAGCCTGACGTGGGGCTTGAAGTCACAAACCATGAGATCATGACTTGAGCCGAAGTCAGACGCTTAACCCACGGAGTCACCCAGGCGCCCCTCTCTCAAAATAAATATTAAAAAAATAAATAAAACAGGTTTTGTGTGAGATGATTTTACTAAACTATAGGCTAATGTTAAGTATTCTGAGCACATTTAAAGTGGGTTACGATCTCATGTCTGGTGCCTTAGGCAAATTAAATGCACTTTGACATATTCTCAACTTATGATGGTTTATTGGGATATAACCACATAAGTCAAGATCTGTGTATATATTTGACCACCACTTAAAAAAATTTATATATCTATCTCAAGTCCTAGACTCCAGCAGAGGAAAGTGACAGAACTGTAAGAGGGTTTCTCAACAGCAGCACTGTTGACATTTTGAACCTGATGATTCTTTGTTGCACATGGTTGTCCTGTGCATTGCCGGATGGTCAGCAGCATCCTTGGCCTTGACTTGATGTCATCACAATCAAAGTATCTCCAGAAATTGCACAAAGTCCTCTGGGAGAGGGAGCCATACTCTCCCCCAGGGGTGAACCACTGGACTACACAAACCTTTTGCTGACTGACTGAATTTGTCTGAAGCTCTACTAGGTCCCTCAGCAATGCCCACAGTAGTTTTTCCATTAAGAAGAGAATGTTAATGGCTTCTCCACATACCATATGGATAGTTTTCAAGTAAAGTGAATTTGTAAATGCAGTTTCCCACACACTGCCCGCAATAGAAGGACACAAAGTTCTGGAGGAGTCATTTCAACATGAAGCTTCCTTCTCCATGTTTTGAATAAGCCCAAGTACCACTGGTCTTGCATGGAATTGTGGCTAACCAAATAAAACATGTGTCTGACAATGTTTAACAAAATTCTTTAATAAAATTTATAAAAATGGATATTTAAGAATTCTCTCAGCTTGAATTGTTTTCCTTTTCCACTCCCAAAGAAAATACAAAATTATCAACACCCACACACATATATAGTCAAAACTATAGTGACATTCTCTATACAGGACGACATTCGAGTTTAAATTGTTGAAAAATCAAGACAATTCCAAGATGTGATTGCAGGGATGATTTTCTTTTTCTTCAAAAAACACCTGACAGACAGTAAAGCAATTTAGATAAGATTATTTTCCATGGTTGTCAAAAGGTTCTTGAAGTTCACATTTCAACTAAAAGAAGATCCAAATCAGAGTTCTCCCCACACTCCCCTTACTGACACATTTTAGGGCCGTATTTTCTTCCTGCTCCTAAGGAAAATAAATTGGATTTCCTGATATTGTTTTCTATGCATGCTTGGAATTTGGGGCAGATGTTTCCAGATCAGCCAGCATATCCTGTGGACATCAACAACAGCAGGCACTTGGGGGGTTCTGGGCTGTCAGGAAGAAACTCTGGTAGCAGGATCCTGATTGGAGTCACATGTTAAGATTCTTCTATTCTTTTTCAGGACTAGAGGCAGAGCCACCTCAACCATCCTCAGCCTCAGTTTCCTAAATTGCCAGGCTCAACAACTTGTCTCCTGCCACCTTCAAACCCATTTTTCACGTTGCTCTCCGCTGGGACAAACACCTTCTGTCTTTGGCTGCAGCACTCGAGGCACTACCGTAAGTGTTGGAATAGATCACTCTCTTGTTTGAGTGTTAGATGAACATTAGATGTGGAGTGGCACCTGAAAACTCACCACCCTTTCTGGTCAAGGCTTCCTGTTTAGAACCAGATCACCCCAGTAATGACATACACATAACAAACATTCTTATGCACAACAAGTAAGTGGATGGATACCTATTTCAAGTTATACACTCAGAAGATTAAAGGTCTTAAGAACAAGGGGCACTGTGCAGTGATAGGAGGAAAAAAGTACACAAATTAAAAACAATTACACACACACACACACACATACATGCACACACAAAATAATAGGGCAGTTGACCCCTCCCTTCCCTTAAAAAATGAGACGAAAACCCTTAAGGAAATCTGCAAGTTGCTAGCAGAACCTTTTGAGGCTGAAGCTATTGTTCTGAAGTATTAACATATGGGGGTCTTTGGGACAGCATCACCACTTAAAGAGTGAGGAAAGAAAAAAAGATTCAAAAATTAGGGCGAAATCATTCGAACACACACAGATTAGATCTATAAAGTGGAAATCCCAACTATTCTAACTGCATCACCGAGCAGACTCTCTTCCCCAGAAAGTCATCTCAAGTGAAGGGAGGTGAGAAACCATGAGCCCTGCATTTTCTATCACACGATGTAGGGGCCCATCTCCTTCCCCATTTGTCTCGAGTCCCCTAGTCATCTTCACCACCTCCGTACATGTCTGCCAGCTTCTTGAAGCGATTGCCCCATTCATTCAGGTAGTCATAGTCCTGATCTCGGTCTGATTCCGAGGAGTTTAAGGAGCTCAGACTAGCAGCTTCAGAACCGCTTCCTTCATAGTCAAACACAAGCAGAGAGTCGTAAGGAGGAGCAGTGGGGTCACTGTCTGCTGCCTTCAGGTTCTAAAGAAGAAGGAAGACGAAAGGATCTTTCAATGCAAGGAATCGCACACCGGTCATCTGAGGCAAGATGCCTCCTCCAGGTGCCTCGAGCAACAAGTCACACATGACCATGCAACCATCCTGTGACACCACAGTCAAGGAAGACAAATCTAATATATATTTCATGAAAAGAGAACATTACAGGTAAATTGCAGAATCTTTTCCTCTATACTAATGATAAGTTATGTGTAGGCAGGAGACAGACAAGCCCGTCAGGATGGACAGAGGCTGAAAACAGTCATATTGTAACATATAGAATAAACTCCCTACTTGGCAGTAACAGTTTGCCTGAATGAAAATTTTTGGCTTCTACCCTACCCTTCCTACTTCTTCTTGACTGGAACACACAGACCCAAGGCCTGGAAGTGTGGCAGCCATCTTGTGCTCATGAGGTAACAAGCACAAAACCAAGGTACCCTCTGTTACATGTGCTTAAGCTCCTGGAATTTAAAGCTGAATGCATTTCTGACATATACAAAGGGATGCTATTTTTCTGGCCCTTAGGTAGACTTATGATACACATTTAATATCACATCCCAACCAGGAATGGGATGCAGGGGCAAAAAGACTCATTAGTGAAACCAAACTGGATCTACTTTGAATTCCTTTAGCTTCATGTCTACTTTTACTAAATCCTTTCAAGTCATTCTTGGTTTTGCCATATGGACTTTGCAAATTCGCTAGGAACGATTTGAAGTGCTCTGAGTTCTGAAATTCAGATGAGACACAAATAAAAAATAGCAGTCAGGGATCAGACAAGGAGAAAACATAAAGCAAAGAATCTAAAGACTTTTTCCTGACTTTCAACACAACTGTTCCTGAGTTTAGAGATGAATGGCACCATGGCTTTTGATTTTGCTAACTTACTTCATCAATAAAGTTTCCAATTTCATCAGGATTGGCAGGGCGGGGCCGGTACTGGGGCATGCTCAGGAGGGTTGGTGCCACATCATTGCGAGTCACTTCAGGCCGAGCATCCAGGCCCCTGTGCAACTGGCTCAAGTCAAAGTCCTTTGGAGAAAAAGGTAAAAATAGACCCCAGAGTAAAAAGAAACAGTCACAAATAAGGGGATATATTTGGATTATAGATTCTGGTATCAGAAAATACCCTGTCAATAGTTGCAAGCATTTGCCAGTGTAAACTAAAATGACAATTTTCAACCTAAGAGTTTTCACAATAGCCCTAGAAGGAAAGACATCAGGGGTGCCTGGGTGGCTCAGTCGGTTGAGCGTCCGACTTCAGCTCAGGTCATGATCTCAATGGTTTGTGAGTTCAAGTCTCACATCAGGCTCTGTGCTGACAGCTCAGAGCCTGGAGCCTGCTTCGAATTCTGTGCCTCCCTCTCTCTCTGCTCCTACCCCACTCACACTCTGTCTCTTTCTCAAAAATAAACATTAAAAAAAAAAAAAAAAAAAGGAAAGACATCAAATGATCATGAGGAGCACCTGTGGTAAGGATGTAGGCTGTTATACCTTATTAACTAAGTCCTAGCCGATCCACAGATTCTTGTGAGCCTAGCTGCCATATATACTCAATACCTGTGTCCTTCACAAAATTCATACATTGAAACCTAATGCTCAAGGTGGTGGTATTTGAAGGTGGGACTTTTGGGAAGTGATTACGTCAGGAGGGTAGATGGAGCCGTCGGGAAGAGGACTGGGGCCCTAATAAAAGACACCCTGGAGATTCCTTTCTGCCGTGCGAGTACATTATGGCTGATTATGAAGGAGGAAGCAAGCCACCACCAAACACCACATCTGCTGGTGCCTTGATTTTAAACAACCCAGCCTCCAGAACTGTGAGAGATGAATTTCTGTGGTTTTTAAGCAATGTCTGTGGTATATTGTTATAGCAGTCCACACAGACTAAGACAGTAGCTGAGACCAGCAGTTGTCCCACAAATGCCTGAAGGACATTTCTCTGCACCCCTTAATATGTTATGCAAAACAGGCTATTCTTCCAGACCACATCACTCAGCAAATGTGTTCATGCATGGCGGGAGTCAAAAGCAGAACTCAGAGATGGGGCCCAAGGTTCCCTTTCTAGATAGAATACACTTTCAAAAACTCTCCAGAAAGGTGCCCAGCTGGCTCAGTTAGTAGAGCATGCGACTCTTGATCTCAGGTCCCTGAGTTTGAGCTTCACGTTGGGCATTAAGGTTACTTTAAAAAACAAAACCAAAACAAAACAAAAAAACTCCGGGGCAAGGTAAGATCATCTCCAAAATCAGGGAAAATAAAGAAGGCCTGAAGATTTAACATCTACAAAAAGAAAGGCAAAAGTTTAGCATACCTATAAACTCAAGGGACAAAATATCACAACAGATTAAGTGCTTTATGTCTAAATAATTTGGAGTTCATGTCCTGAGAACAGCCATGAGGAGAACAGGCTTGAGTCAGACTACTTGGTTTGACTGCTTCCTACCTGTGTGACTTTGGGCAAGTTATTGAACTGCCCTTTGCATCTGTCCATTCATCTGGGCGCTGAACAGAACAACGGTATTTTAAATGCCTACCTTCTCCTAAACATTGCTTCTTCCAAACAGAGATCACCACATAGCTTTTTGCCACAGTTTTAAAAAGGTACCTGATCCTCTTCTCCACCTCCTTCTTCATCATAGTAATAAACATTGTCCCTGGTGTCATCTTCTGGGGGTAGTAAGGGCTCTTTGACCACCCCTCTCCTCCGAACAAACAGCAAAAGCAGCAGAATCAGGACTGGTGTGGGGAAGAGAGAACAAGGAGAGCCACAGGTCAGGAAGGCCATAAAAAGCAGCTATCACACAGCACCACTGCCTCGCCTACCAGACAGATGGCTGTCAGACAACCCACATGGCGATGCTCACATACCTGAAGTTAACGTATACAGTATAACATAGTGGACAATTACATGGGAATTCAAGCGTGTCTTCAACTGGACTGTTTATCTTTTTTAATGTTTATTTAATTTTGGGAGAGACAGAGCATGAGTAGGGGAGGGGCAGAAAGAGAAGGAGACACAGAATCCGAAGCAGGCCCCAGGCTCTGAGTTGTCAGCACAGAGCTAGACTCAGGGCTCAAACTCACAAATTGGGAGATCATGACCCGAGACGAAATAGGATGCTTAACTGACTGAGCCACCCAGGCGCCCCTAACTGGACTTATTAAACCAGTCAGTCGTTTCTCAGAATCTGAGTTAAAATGCTCCAGGCAGAGGAAATGGTGGTAAGGACAAAGGACCTGAGGCAGAAGCATGATTGGCATGATTAAGAAAAGTGAAGTCAGCATGGCCACAGCAGGGTGAGTGAGGGGGAAAGAAGCAAACAGAGGGGTGGCAGGGATATGTCAACTACTAGAAGGACTTTGGCTTTGATTCTGAGTTGGAACCATTAGAGGTTTGTGAACAGGGATGAGTCACCCTAAATGTGATTGACAGGTGCACATTATTTTTAATCAGTTCAGAGGAATGGGACACAGACCATATAATCACCTGGTATATTCCCTTATCTTAAGATAAAAATCATGTGGGCAAGCTCTACGATCTGTTTAATTTCCAAAGTTTTCATCTGATCATGGGATGTTTCTAGGGTATATATGATTAACAGCTGTTAAAAACTTTTAAACTACTTATTGTGAATGAAGAAATTATGATTCAATGTGTTTTCTTCATAGATGCTTGTGCCCAAGTACCTCTAAAGGACACCCTACAGGGGGAGGGAGGAGGGAAAGGACATCCTACTGAAACAGTATTATTGGACTGAAACAGGAGGTTGTGTAGACTTGGGGAAAAGATTTCTCAGAAGTACCCAAACTCCCTATTGTTTCTGAAATCAGCAAGTTTCCAAGACTTTATTCAGATAAGCAAACTTCCTTGATCACAATCCATCAACAGGAACAGTGAGCACTTGCTGGGTCGGCCTAGACCTGCCTTGGCACCGAGGACACGGCCCTGAAGACCATATAAGATGCCAACAGTCACCATCCACGTGGAGCGTAGAGCAAGTAAGAGCAAGGAGCAGGTTATCATCTCCAAGAAGATGTTACCGATCAAACGTTACTCACATGTTATACCTTTAGAAAAGTAACTACATATTTTCACTGCTTCAGGAAGTACCACCCCATACACTGTACCAAAACCTCAGTAACCCCAGTGGGATCCTCAAAAAGCCTGGCACAAAGCAAGCAATCAAATATTGAGGGATTACATGAACATCCACATGTCCCGGCATCTTTGTAGAATCACCTTTAGAAGGCTAAGTTCTATGTTTGCCCACAAGGAACAAGAAGCTAGAAGTGTGGATCCTGGCATTGCTTCTGCTTTCAATGTTGTTCCACATTTAAGCTTTCTGCCATGTTGTCCTTGGCCTCTGTGTCTAATAAAATATACCCCAAACAAATTGAGGTAAGGCTATTACTAAAAAATTGGTATTTTAAGGGTAAGCTGCAGTCTTGAACATTTTCCTCAGAATGAAAGTACTAGTTTGTAACTGCTGTCCCCAGAGCAGACTGGCCCGTTCAAATGTAATTGGAGTGGGAAGTAAGTGGGCAGGCAGGGCTTGTACTGTCACGCCTGTGCTGATGACACAGGAAGGTGAATTAACCTCATCCCACGGTGGCAATAAAGCCATGTGAATTCTGAGGAACACAAGTCCAGAAAGCTCACTGAATTCTAAACAACACTCTCCTTCCTTCTGAGTTTGGAGATGACACAAGCAGCAAAGGGCAGGAGCAAGAACACCTGTGCTGAGTCGACTTGAAACCCCAGAGGTGGCCCCACTGCTCCCTCTAAGAACTTTCTTCTACTCCAGCCACGTTGGTCTCCTCCCTGCCTCCCCTTCCTCTCTGTGCCTTCACTAGTGTGGTAGTGTGGGAACCGTCACGAACGCCCCTCTGTCCATCTGGATGCCACCAGTCCCCGTCCCAACAATCCTACATCTTCCACCAAACCTTCCTTGAGGCTCCCTCAAGAGGCCCCCTCTTCTGAATGCAAAGGCATTCATGACCTGGACCGCCCTTTTCAGCCCCTAATTATACACGGTCTTTCCCCCACTCTGTCCTGATAGTCATTGATAATCACTATTCACCCTACACTCCACCCCCACTCTCTGCCAAGTGTTAAATGGGCACATGGCCACTCAGTTAGGGTGGGACATTCTAGGTGTGGTTGTGTTTGAGCCATTGGAATGGGAGTGAAGGTACACTTTCCAGATATGTGCCTTCCACTTCCTCTCTCATCTCTTCTCCAAGACGGAAGGTGGGGGTGGTGAGCTGGTAGCTCCGACCATGCTGATGAGAATAGTACCCTAAAGACTTGCTGCTCCAGGTTGCTCTAAGAACCTCCAACATTTGCACCCCCTGGGAGCTGGTGACAAAGGTGGAATGTGAGGTCCCACCCCAGATCAGAATTCTCATGCAGGCGATTTGTATGCACTGCCCTGAAGGATTCAGAGAACAACAAAATAGACGGACTGGGCTCCTGTTGATTTAATGGAACAGCGCTCCCTTCCAGTCCTGGCGAACTCAACTTTAAAATGCTCAGTAACAGATAAACCTCCCCCCGTTTAGAAGCCAAAGACTGAAATGCTTGCCAGGCATACTTACTTAGTAAGGCGAGGATTCCTCCGAGAATGCCCAGAATGGCAGGAACTTGCAACCCCGCTTCAGCGTAAGGCATGGTCCTCTTGCAGTTGTTGACGACCCCTTCGCAGTCACAAACGTACACATCTAGGGTGGTCACCTGGTCCTTGTTCTGGTTATCCACGAGTTTGAGATTTATCTTGTAGTCGCCCAACTCTAAGGTTTTCTTTGGCTTCAAAATTAGAGATTCACGGGCTGGAGGAAGCAACAAAAATAAATGATGGGACCAGGAGAAAAAGAACAAACAAACAAAACAACCTCATTCTAGAATTATTAGGGTAAAGAAAATGGAGCTGCTTGGGTGGAAGATCACTGTGCAGTATGTTACAGAGTCAGATACCAGGAAAGGAAAGGGACCTTTGGGGGAATGCCTCAAATGCAGATGGGGCAAATAAACAAGCGTCAGACAAAAGAGGTGACATCTGAGAAGCTGAGAAGGGACTTTCAGAAGTGGGTGGGGGGCAGGAGCAGGGAAAAGCATGGGGTCAGAGTAAGACTCCAGTTCCCACCTTGGTCACTGTAGTCAATGGTCCAGTTGACACTTGCCCCGTGTGTTAGTTCTGCCGTGAAGGGAGATGTGTTGGGGGGAAGATCTGGATCAAAGATGTTGATGATATGAGGCTGTGGATTTTTCTGGCAGAAATCCATACTTCGAGGTTCTGGTACGGGGCCATTGTCATTCACATCAGAGAGGATCAGGAGAAGGGTTCCCGTTCCAGTAGCAAGTGGAGAACCTAAGAGAAAATATGTAGGAAATACCACAGCTCAGGAACATTCATGAAGCTCTACAGCCTCGAATCAGACCAAACGCCAATCCTGGCTTGGCTCTTCAGAGATTCATCACCAGGCCCCACCCTCCCCATCTCAGGGCATCTTCACTTCTGGTCAGGCAGCTCTCCAACACGCTATTCCCCACTTTAACAACAATTACTCAAGTTATTCCTCACACCAAGGACAAGGCTCCCTACTCTTTTGCACGTACCTTTATGCATCCATTAAACTTGAACCACTCCAAGAATTCCTCTTTGCCCCCCTACCAGTTCTCCCTTTCCGAACTTCTCTGGCTTTAAGGTCATTATCAAAGGGTTGAGCTTTTGAAATGGCTACAAGTTGCAAATTGATTTTCAAAGTAGACTTGGGGAAAAAAAGACTTGGACACTTCTGTGTGCATTTCTTTTACATTCTGACATACATATTCTACCATTTTATGCTAGCATCTAGCATAAAATGGTAGAAAGAGTAGATACTCAAGCATCATCAGTATTAGTGTGGGGTTTTTTTTTTTCTTAAGTAGGTTCCATGCCCACCATGGAGCCCAACGTGGGGCTCCAACTCACAACCCTGAGCTGAGATCAAGAGTTGGGCACTTAACCAAGTGAGCCACTTAGGTGCCCCAATATTAGTTTGTTATAGAAAAAAAATGCACAGGACTATTATCTCAAACCTATAATCATGCTTGGGTGGCAAGAATGTGGTGATTATTTTTTCTTTTTACCCTTAAAAAAATGATGGCTTTAAAAAAAAACCCACATAGCATAAAACTTACCATGTTAACCATTTTAAAGTTCATTTTACATTTTAGGTTCAACAGTATAAGTATATTCACATTGATCTCCAGAACAGTGTCATCTTGCAAGACTGAAACTCTGTAACCATTAAACAACTCCCTGCTTTCCTTCTCTCCCCAGCCCCCTCCCCGCCCCTTACCACCATTGTACTTTGTTTCTATGAATTTGACCACTTTCACACCTTAAGTGAAACTATACAGTATTTATCTTTTAGTGACATGGCTTTTACTTAGCATAATGCCCCCAAGATTTATCCATGTTTTAATATTCCATTGTATACATATACCATATTTTATCTATGCATTCATCCATGGATGAATCCTTTTACCTTATGGGAGAGGAAAAAAAAACCCCAAAACCCAGCAGGGGCCATTTAAAATTTTTTCTAATTAGGGGCACCTGGGTGGCTCAGTTGGTTAAGTATCCAACTTTGGCTCAGGTCATGATCTCACGGTTCATGAGTTCAAGCCCCACTTTGGGCTCTCTGTTGTCAGTGCAGAGCTCACTTCAGATCCTCTGTCCCCCTCTCTCTGTCCCTCCCCAGCTTGTGCACGCTCTCTCTCTCTCTCTCTCTCTCTCTCTCTCTCTCTCTCTCTCTCTCAAAAATAAATAAACATGGGCCGCCTGGGTGGCTCAGTCAGTTAAGCGTCTGACTCTAGCTTAGGTCATGATTTCTCGGTTTGTGGGTTCCAGCTCCACGTCGGGCTCTGTGCTGACAGCTCAGAGCCTGGAGCCTGCTTCAGTCTGCAAATGGGACCCAGTCAAGGTCTAACTTGCCTTCCTCACTAACTCCCAAATGACAGCTCCAGGGACAGGCTTTAAATTCTAACAGGTTTATCTTTCGCCAGCACATTCACAATGTGATGGAGGCTGCATCATTCAACAGCCATCTGCCCAGCCCCATCATGGCCTTACTCGCTTTGCTGTGTTTTCTAGATTGTCAACTACTTCAGAAAGCTGGTAAGTTAGTGAGGGAAAGAGACTCATTCACAATGTCAGGAAGTGAGTAGGTTCTAACAATAATTCTATTTCTAAATATCTAGCCAGGGGAAATACTTGCACATAGAGGCATGTACAAGGATGTTTACGTATGAAAGTCTTGAAAATGATGACCAAGTAGAAACCATCCCAGTGTTCTTTAATGTGTGAATAATTAAATTATGCTAGATCCAGGTAACAGTTTATTATTTTTTAATTTTTTAAATTTATTTTTGAGACAGAGAGAGCGAGCGAGAGCATGCATGTACAGGAGAGGGGCAGAGGGAGAGAGAGGGAGAGAGGGAGAGAGGGAGAGAAGGAGAGAGGGAGAGAGGGGGAGAGAGAGAGAGAGAGAGAGAGAGAGAGAGAGAGAGAGAGAGAATCCCAAGCAGGGTCCACATTGTCAGGGCAGAGCTCATTGTGGGGCTCAAACTCACGAACCATGAGATCATGACCTGAGCCGAAATCAAGAGTTGGACGCTTAACATACTGAGCCACCCAGGCAGCCCTAGGTAACATTTCTTTATTACCAAGAGGTAAATCTATAAAGTGCCAAAGTAAATCTGTGTCTTAAAGACATATTGTAAATAATAATAAATTACGTATCAAGTAAATGAAAAATTTAATAGAAATCAACATGTATAAAATAATGGTTTTTACAATAAAACCAGGCTATAAACTAGATAGTGGCTTTATAATAATTCAATACTATATTTCAATAATTCAATATTGAATTTCAATAATTCAAAACTATAATTCATATGCAGAAAAATGAATTCAAACACACAGAAACAGCCCGGAGGGAGTCACATTTCACTAATAATGATGATGATAAAAATAATGATAGTCCTTATAGAGTAGTACTATGTAGCAGACACTCTTCTAGGCATGTTTACATAAATGAATTCATTAAAAATCTAGATGGGGTATTATCATTTTGTCAGATAGAGGAACTGAGGGACATAGAAATAAGCTTGTAAGTCCAAAGTCACATAGGTATTATGTCCTAGGCTCTAGACCCAGGCAGTGTGGCTCCTGTGGGGAAGGAGTGGGTTCAGGTATAAAGAGGGAATGGTGAAAAGCACTTCTACTTGACCTAAATTATTTGTACCCTTGAAAATTGTATGTTTTTTGTTTAAGGATAAAAGAGGAAGAATGAACTCTTGCCTCTAAAAGAAAGGTGGGGGGCAAAGAAGCAAACGAGCCGGGAGGGTGAGGCGGCCAAGGCCAAACCCTAAGAACATCCTTACCATTGTCGGTGGCGATAATGAGGGCCGTGTACGTGCTGTTCTTCACATGCTCAAAGTCCTCTCTGTCTAATTCAGCCCGAGTGAAAATGGCACCAGTGTCTGGATCAATCCTCAGCCAGTTGGCAGCATCCCTCCAAATCCGATACCTGAAAAGGCACAAGCTCTGGCTTAGAATACAAGAGTGAACGGCACATAGCTAAGAAGGCTAAGGCTCCTCTTTGTTCGTCGTTCACATCTACAGGAAAGTGTGACCATCCATGTCCCCTTCACCTGGATTCACCCATTGTTGAACCATTTGAGAAGAAGTTGCAGCCATCATGTTCTCTTACTCATAAATACTTCGGCGTATTATCCCCTCAGAACAGAGGCATTCTATTATATAATCACAATTGGATTTTTAATTTCAGGAAATGTAACATTTAATATATGGTGCATATTTAAATTGTCGATTTCCCCAAAACTGTCCTCCGGAGCATCCCTGTCCTGATTCAGGATCCATCTACGCATGACATTTAGATGTCACGTTTCCTCAATTTGGAAACATTCCTTAGCCTTTCCATTCTTTCTCAACACTGGTATTTTTGAAATGTGCAGGCCAATTGTTTTGGAGAAAGCTCCTCAATCTGGGCTGGTCTGATTATTCCCTTCTAAGTAAACTCAATTCATGTGAGGGAAAGGGAGGCAAGAGCACTGGATAAGTGATGACTGTCCTTCTCAGGAGGACATTAAGAGGCACATGACATCTGTTCTTTTCTTGGTTAACTTTGATCACTTGGATAAGGGATAGGGCACCTGATTTCTTCCCATTAAAGGTACTTTTTTCCTAAGGGGAAAAAAGACCATTAGTCTATGGTCTGAGGGGAGAAAATGTGACAATATCCTGTTCACCAACTTTCACCCAATAGATTTAGTATCTTTGGGTAATTTTTGCCTGAAGCAAGGAGTACTATGAACTTTAAGTTTGTTTTTTTTTTTTTAAGTTTATTTATTTATTTTGAGAGGGAGAAGCAGAATGTGCAGGGGAGGAGCAGAGAAAAAGGGAGAGACAGAATCCCAAGCAGGCTCTGGGCTTGATCCCACAAACAGTGACATCGTGACCTGAGCTGAAATCAAGAGTCGGACACAACCAACTGACCCACACAGGTGCCCCTCCTTATGTATTTTTAAAGCAGAGTCTTATAGGCCAGCTCCCCAAAGGGTACAGTACTCAAATGGTGGCAATATGCCACCCAAAACCCCCACCACGAACACTTGGAAACTCGTGTTGACACAGTGACTGGAGGATGCGCTGTATTACTGGCCTTTCATGGCAGGTGCCAGAGAAGCTCAAGTTCCTTCTGGCCTTACAAAGGGAAAGAAAAGTTTTATTCAAAATGCCAGAATGATCCGTTAAGCTATACCTACTTGGGAGTACCAGAAGCAGTCAATCAGAGAAAACAAAGGCATGAAAAAGAGAGATATACTGCCCAGCTATCTGCTAGGGTCATGGCAAGGCTCAGAAAAAGAAGCAAAAAAGCTAAGGATAAAAGAGCCCTGGATACCTCCAGGCATATCCCCACTTCCTTAGGAGTACAAAGCCATGAACTTAGCAAGTGGTCTTTGTTCCAGGAGTAAGGGCCTCTACACACAGACTTGGTCCCCGTACTTGCCCAAAGAGAAGCTTTAAATGACCCTTACACTACTGCAAGCTAAGGCATCAACTGGCCTGGAAACCATACAGTCCAAGGCTTCATCATTCAACGACAACCATACAAGAGGTCTTTGGTTTCCCACTGTAGTTTTCAACCTTGATTAAAAACACTTCTTACTAGCCCTAATAGTTTGGACCACCTAGAGGACTCCTTGGATTATGAGCAGTACATTGGATACATGTACAAATTCAACACATTTGAAGTATTTTAAGATTTTAAGTAATCTGTACACTTCACATAGGGCTTGACCTTGTGACCTCCAAGATGAAAAGTCATATGTTCTACTGACTGAGCCAGCCAGGTGCCCTGAAATTAAGATTATTTAAAAAAATTTTTTTCAACGTTTTTTATTTATTTTTGGGACAGAGAGAGACAGAGCATGAACGGGGGAGGGGCAGAGAGAGAGGGAGACACAGAATCGGAAACAGGCTCCAGGCTCCGAGCCATCAGCCCAGAGCCCGACGCGGGGCTCGAACTCACGGACCGCGAGATCGTGACCTGGCTGAAGTCGGACGGACGCTTAACCGACTGCGCCACCCAGGCGCCCCAAGATTATTTTAAAGCAAATCTCAAATGTCAAAAGATTTTTCCTGTAAATATCTTAGCATATATCTTATATAGATAAGGTTTTAAAAATTTTTTTAATTTAATGTTTATTTTTGAGAGAGAGAGAGAGAACCAGTGGGAGAGGGGCAGAAAGGGATGGGGACAGAGGATCCAAAGCAAGTTCTGTACCAACAGCAGAGAGATCCAATGCAGGAGTCTAACTCATGAACCATGAGATCATGACCTGAACTGAAGTCAGCCACTTACCCAACTGAGCCAGCCAGGTGCCCCATATAAATAAGTAAATTAGAAAAAAATAAAACAAAACATAATCATAATGCCACCAACACATCTAACAAAAACAGTAATAATTACTTACTGTCATCTAATGCCACGTCCATGCTTAAATTTCTCTAACTGACTCAAAGGTATCTTTTATAGTTGGAGTGTTGAATCTATCTTCAAGTTGTAGTCTACATATTACAACTGGTTCATTTGCCTCTTAATACTCTTTTGATCTAAAGCAGTCCTCCCTGCCCTTTTGCCACTTATTCCAGTGTCATTTGTCATACAGTTCCCACATTCTGCATTTGGCCAGATTTGTGGCATTTGATTCTTCATTCTCTGCATTTCTGCAAAATCGGATTCTAACGCTTAACTAGGTTCTGCCTCAACTTTAGTTTACTCCAAAAAAAAATATTTCCATAGTGACGTTGTGTGCATGCTACTGAATCATACATATCAAGTGGTACATTATGTTATATTGTCCTTACTTTTTTTTTTCTTAAGTAAATGTTAAATACAATCAGAAGGTTTGGGTGTTATCAGCCTGGTTCCTTCATTTAAAAATTCCCCATCACCCTCGACCTAATGACTCAGTGCTAGCAGCCTTTAAGATCTCTACCTGCACCTTTTATATAGCTCCTCCTATAAGGGCACATGTGTGGTCCCAAGGTATTCAGGAGCCCTTTCACTTAGGACAGAATCAGCACTTCCCAAACTAACCACTGAGGCTGAAATCACACTTAAACTGTTTGAACTTCAACTTGAACCAGTCAAAAGCACTGATGCTAAAACACAAACACCCCACGAAACAAGAACACACTCAATTACTATGCAAGACGCTATTCTGGATTTGTATGTTTTTCTCTAAATAGTTGAGAGCCTGGGGCACCTGGCTGGCTCAATTGAAAGACCATGTGACTCTTGATCTCCGAGTCATGAGTTCAAGATTGAGGGTAGAGATCACTTAAATAAACTTTAGAAGAAGATAGTTCAGGTGTCATGACAGTTTCCCCTAAAGTACATGTTAACAGGTAGGAACCTACCTCTCCAAGAAGAGGAAGTGGGCGCATTGGCGGAGGCCCATTACTTCTTGGAAATCACGGTATTACTAACAAGACACATGTGTCCTCTTTGGATTTGTATTCTCATAGCTTTTTCCTAGTCAAATCCAGCCCTCAAAAAATTAAGAACATTCTTTATCATACATGGTTGTGGGGTGTTGTTGTTGGTTGGCAGGTGTGGCTTCAACATCTGTGGGTGTGATTTAGATTATGGGGTGACTTCAAGTTTAAAAGGAGAAGAAATACCGAGCTACTTCTAACACAACATCATGTATGTAAATTAAAACCACATTCTTAGTACACTGCATGAACTTGCAAACAGGAAGCAACAGTAAATCGGGAATGGCTGGCTATGGAGGGAACGGAAAAAGTGTGGAGAATGAGAGTAAAATGGAATTAGAAAAAAACGGGGGCGGGGGGGGACTTGCACAGACCAATGATGGTAAAGTGCAATGAACAAAGTATTTTATACACACACATACACTCATACTCAATTGTTGCAAGTCTGTTAAAAAATCCTCACACTTACGTTATCCTCTGTTCCATAAACTGGTCCGGATCCTCAGCAGTGTAGGACGTGATTTCCAGGCCCACACCAAAGTCTTCAGGTATGTGCACTTCCTTTTGGAGAGGCACAAAGATGGGGGCTTCGTTCACATCCTCCACGTCCACGGTGACTGTGGCTGTGGAGGTGGAGAGAATAACCTCAAACGGGGACACATTCTCCACGGCCACATACAGAATGTATTGTCGCTTGGTCTCAAAATCCAAGCCCTAAGGAGCAAAAAAAAAAAAAAAAAAAAAAAAGAATTCAAAAATACATTTTATGTTAGTTAAAAAAATAAATAAAATTAAGTCCTTAACTATTGCTTTTGGTTAGCAATATCCTAGGGGTTCTCAAATCTAGCTAATCTAGTTAATTAGGAAGAATTAACTTGAGAACTTTTGAAGAAAATGGAGGCCTGCACTCTAACCCAGTAAATAGCAGTCTCTGAGGGTGGGGCCCAGACATGCGTAGTTTTACAAAGCTCCCAATGACTACCATGCAATCATAATAAAGATGAGAACCCTAGGAGAAGAATAAAAACAAACTACGGGACACGTCAAACAGCAAACCCCAGTGAACAAACACTAGCACATTAAGTCATTCATTATTCAAGGCCAGTAAGAATGTTCACATCCCATGTGACATGCCATCCATATGACAGCAGACGGACAGAAGACCCTGCTTGTCCACCTCAATGACCTCAATTAAGTTTAGTGTCAACATGCAGTTCAGATCAGTCAGCAACAAGGTCAAAGCCCAGCTGGGTCATATCCTAGCTGTGTGATCCAGGCAACTTAACTTCTGGATCTGTTTCTACATCTAAATATGTAGGAAAAGGAATACTTCATGGAGTTGCCATAAGGAAAAAACTGGGAACTTTGATGAAGGACTTTGTGTATGGTAGGGACTCATTTTACTAGCTTCTTTCTTTTGTTGGTAGCATAGACAATGTTGACGTTGGATGGTTAGGGGGAGATAAGATTATGTAGTAAGTAATGCATAAAGTAATAATGCAGAATGGTCTGCTCACTTGCTCAAGAGGAAGTCAAAGCCTTGGGGCTGATTCAGGGATCCATTAACTCTGAGTAACCTCAACAAGTAAATCACCCAACTTCCTAAATTTTCAGGTTTCCAAAACATTTCTCAAAAAGTCATTTGTCCCACTTCTAAAATGATCCAGCAAAATGGCAGAGACCAGTAGACTATTTTCCCTTTTATTTGCAAAATGGATATGGAGGGGAGGAGTAGATAAATGTTTAAGGGAGCAAGCCTTTTAAAACACATGGTATTTTCTTTCTCTTCAACCTCAAGGAGCTTCCTGAGTCTCACATGTGCTGGAATAGTCACTGCAAATCCCAAATGGTGCAAGAGATCCTGGGAAAGCCTCCCACCCTTACCCCACCAATGCCGTGCTACTTCTACTTCTGAGAAGACACCAGTGGACAGGGGAGTTTCCAAGATGTCAGTTTCTGCATCTTGCCAGGCACCATACAAACCTTAGCTGTTTTCAAAATGCCATCGTTGGTTACTGGGTCTGTGGTGACAACAAACTGGTCATCCTTATTGTTCAATATGGTGTACACGGCCTGCCACGCTGGGGTATTTGGGACATCGGCGTCAGTCACTTTGAGTACGGTGATTTCGACATTAGCTTCGTTCTCAGGCACCTGCCCCTGGTACTACAGAGCAAAGGAAAAAATGGACCACTTATGACATCCTGAGACCCAATAGATGAGCCAGGGCCTAGAGGGCTAAAGGAGTCCTTTCTGAGCCCAAGATTCAAGGAGAAGAGTCTTGGAGGAAATGCCCACTCCATCAGTTGAGCCTCTATTTCTTATTGGTGGAGCAGCCAATACTACTCAAGGAACATCATCCTTCATGACTACCTGAAGAAGCTTTTTAAGGACCTGGCTACCTGAGCCCCTCACAGCACACTCTGACCCAGTTGATGACTATGGTCTTAATCAAATTCAAGACACTGTGGCTTATCCATTACTCTCCTCTCCCTATCATTCCCAGTGGTACCAATAATTTTCTTACAACAAAAGTCTGGTCAGTAGAGTCCTCTGCTTAAAACCTTTGATGACATCCCCTTGCACTCAGGATAAATTCTAACATTCTTACCTCAGTCTACAAGGTTGGGCAGGACCCAACCTCATTTAGTTCACTACACTGACTGGTTTTCAGTTCTTGCTATGCATCAGGCTTTTCACTGATTCAGAGCATGTTGCATATGCTGCTCCCTCTGCCTGGAGCACTCTTCCATTGTCCCCTGTCCCGCGTTGGCCAACATCCTGTCAAATCTTACTATAAATGTTACTCACAATGCCTAGGTTACGGTGGCAGACACTGCTAATTGAATACTAATATCCATTCACCCTTTCTTCGTGAAATATATTGTTGGAGGCAGCAAAGTGCCCAGACAATGTATTTTACTTCCAGTCATCCTCGAAGACTGCAGTTGCTAAGAGGTAAATGGAACTTGTATGGGTCTGCACAGAAATAAGAGGACTTCACTTAGCAGCAATGCCTTGTGCTCCCCGTGGCCTTGCTTCCTTCCTGAACGAAGCACAGACATAGCTGGAGGGCTAGCAGCCATCTGGGGCCATAAGGGGACACCAAGCATGGAAGCTATGCACCAAGGATGGTGGCAAAGTAAGGCAAAAGAGGTTTCATTGACAGCACAGATAATCTAGCTCTGGGCTTTTTGTGACACTAGAAAGTTTACCCTATTTGTTTAGGACGTAAGAGTCAAGTGTCTGTTATTAGCCACTGAGCTGATTTCTAATTAATGTATTAAGATTTAAGGTTCTGGGATGCCTGGGTGGCTCAGTCAGTTAAGCATCCGACTTGGGCTCAGGTCATGATACTGTGGTTCATGAGTTCAAACCCGATGTCGGGCTTCTGTGCTGACAGCTCAGAGCCTGGAACCTGCTTTGGAATCTGTGTCTCCCTCTCTCTCTGTTCCTCCCCACTCATACTCTCTCTCTCTCTCTCTCTCTCTCAAAATCATTCTCTCTCTCTCTCTCTCTCTCTCTCTCTCAAAAATAAATAAAGATTAAAAAAAGAAAAGAATAGAAAGAAAATATTTGTTCAATGAATAAACAAAACCTGGTAGGACTTGTGACCAAGATACCCAAAATGAAAACATGAATTCAACAGGTGGCCCCCCCCCCTTTTTTTTCTTTTTTAAAGTAATCTCTATACCCAACATGGGGATCAAACTCACAACCCTCAGATCAAGAGTCACATGCTCTGTGGTGCCTGGGTGGCTGAGTCAGTTAAGCTTCCAACTTTGGCTCAGGTCATGATTTCACAGTGAAGTTCAAGCCCCACGTGGGGCTCTGTGCTGACAGCTCAGGGTCTGGAGCCTGCTTTGGATTCTTTGTCTTCCTCTCTCTCTGCTGCGCGGGGCGCCCCGCCCCCCCAGCCATGCTCTGTCATCTCTCTCTCTCTCTCTCAAAAATAAATAAAAGCATCAAAAAAATATTTAAAAAATTATAAAAGAGTCACATTCTCCACTGACTGTGCCAGCCAGGCACCTCAGGTGCCATTTATAATTTCACAAACGTGTGCCAATAGGGCCCAGGCTAATGATGGCAGGGACAACTGCCACCCCAATCTGCTTGCTTTCTGAAGTCCAGTAGTCTAGGGAAAGCTGTCAAAGGCTTCACCCATGAGCACTGTGAAACAACAGAGGACCTTTCTTTGAAAACCGAGGGGCTGCAAAATTACCGTGGTTGGTTCAAAGATGGGAGGGTTATCGTTGATGTCAGTGACCGTGATCACGGCTGTTGCGGTTGTACTTAAACCTTCACCTTGCAGGTCAGCAGCCTGAACCACCAGGGTGTACATGGGGACACTCTGCAGAGATCAAACACATTGGAGTCAGGACCCAGAACCACATCAGGCCCAGCCCAGCCCAGAGCATCAAAACACTTTATCATTTGCTTGAATGCTAGCCTGCCTTCTAGGTATAAAACCTCTAGACAGATGTTTAGATGCAAAGCTCAGACCATAACATGCTACGTGGCAACTGGCCTCTGTCGAGTTTTGCACGGTCCACGTGATCTAGCTGATGTCTATTTGCCCTCAACCCCCTCTATATCCTCTTGACCCCTGACCTCCCGGTCCAGCCCGGTGGTGACCACACTGATGACTCCTGTGTCCCTATTGATGGTGAACATTGTGCTCTGAGGCAGCGGGGGCTCTTGGGAGAGGATGGTGTATGCGATGGCGGCATTGTAGGTATTCTCGTCGTCATCTGCATCTGTGGCCGTGACCTGCATCACAGAAGTTCCTGGAATTGCCAAAGGAGAGGAAGATTCAGTTAAGCTGCACTTTGGATTTTGGTCAACATTGCTCAGCTCAATTCTGTCCAGAATGTTCCAGGAGGAGCCTAGGGTTGGTACCGTGTCATGGCTCTCCATTTTCTAATTTCCAAAATTCTTACCAGTGCGGGGGGGAGAGTTGACAGCATTCCACCAAATGAGCAGTGTTCCAAGGACTCAGCTTTGCCCACAAGATACTTTGGATTGGGCTGGAGGGGAGGACTACGGGGAATAAGTAACCTTACACTGAAACAGTGCCGTGTCTCTCAAACAGAGTGAATGAGGTGAAAACTAGGAAAAATCCCACAAATTTCCGATGTGGCTTGTAAGTCACGGCTTCACCAGAGAGGATGGTCACTTGAGATCACTGCCTTCAAGGTAGAAGAGAATACTTATAGCACCTGTGACTGGCAAAGGACTAGTGCTGATCACATCAAAAAAAATTCTTTAGGGATCACTAGGAAAAGGAAAAAAATAGCCCAAGGGGGAAAAAAAAGAGCAAAAGACGAAGAAAGAAGTCATAAGAAACCCAAAGGGCCGGCAAACACAGAAAATGCTTAGCCCATTAATAAAGCAGAGAAATGCAATTTAAAATTGTATGGAGATACCACCACACAGTCAACAGAGCTGAAAAGTCTAAAATTCCAGGATATATATGTTGCTGGTGGGACTGTAAACTGGTTCAACCCCTTTGGAAAACAGCTTGTCAGCAAGTATCACACTGAACAGGCACATACAATACAACTGAGCCATCTACCGTTACGGATTTATACCCTAGAGAAAGTCTTGCATGTTTCCATCAGGAGATATATGCAAAGAAATACTACATGACAATGAGAATGAATGGCCTTGGACTGCTATAGGCACCAACACAAAGAACCATATGTACATAAAGCTAAACGAGAGAAGCATGCCACAGAAATACATGTAGAGTGTGGTTCCCTGTACATAAAGTTTGAAAACATGCAAAACAAACAAGAGCTCATATAGAGATAAATATACACACAGTGAAATAGACAAATGAAAGCAAAGGAATGATTACCACAAAAGTCAGGGCAGCAGTTACCTTTACAGGGGACAGAAAAGAATGTGGTCATGAATGGCATGCATCTGTTTCTTAATCAGGAAAGGTTCTTAAACTGCTCCTATTTTATAATACACATTTCTGTAGAAAGGATGTTTTACACACATGGTGCAAGCTTCTAAAGAAGTTCTATCGCTATGAAGGGCCTGACCCCAAACACCAGCCCCAACACTTTTAAGTCCAAAGAATCTAAGTGTCTTTCTGGGAACTACGCGCCTTATGTATTGGCCATACCTGGAAGAGCACTTTCCATGACAGAACCTTCAAAGACCTGCTGGGTGAACTCGGGCTTGTTGTCATTCTGATCTGTCACCGTAATCACAATCTCCATTGGGTCTTCGACTGCATGCCCATTTGAAGACACAGCATGAGAGTACAGCTGAAACAGCCAAGTGAAGGTTACGTGGGTCCCAACCAGGGGGAAGAAAGGGAAGGAGTCATGTGACGGCCTCCACCCCCCCTCCCACTCTCCAAGACCCAAGGAAGGACACCCTAGCAGAGAACTTTTCTCGGACATGTGCTGCTGCTTCAGTGGTGTCATGACAATGTTTGAGGGCATGATATGTAAAGATTCACGGGCTGGAGAACACAGCTACCAGGTCAGAGCTCCCATTTCCCATAGGAGGGCTGGGGAGCCAGGCCTAGGAGAAAACAGTAGAACCCTAAAACACTCTGATTCATTCCCAGCAGGCTAATGTTTGCTCTGACTGCTCCAGTCTAGTGTCTCCCCAGATTTTTCTACATTTGGCCTCAATGCATTACCCTTCAGCTCTCCAAGCTTACTCTGATACCAAGGTCTAAGAATGGCTTTTGCTCCCCAATGTCATCACTGGCCTCTTCCTCTGGGTCAGGGACTTTTGGCCCCAAGAGTAAGTTGCTACCTTGGGTCTTAACTCATGCATAAGGACTCTCCTCTCTTTATTCCTAACAAAGAAAATATTAATGCTCCCCTCCCCCACCCCCCAATTTTTCCCCAGCTCTCCTGTCATCTCCCTTTATTAACAGGTACAGAGCTATCAAATTAAGCCTCACATGTCCAGAGCACCAGATCTAGGGATCCAACATGGGTTGACCAAAAAATTTTGGGAGGATAGGACCCCATTATTAACAGGCTTCTGAGAGATACTCACAATGTACTTGGCAATTTGTTCTCTATCCAGAGGCTCCGTCACCTTCAGCCATCCTGTTTCTCTTTCAATAATAAACACACCAACAGGAGGTGTGTCAGCCCCTTGGCCAGTGATGCTGTAGAAAACCTTGATTTCTTTGTCCCTGTTAGATTTGATCTGAAGACCAAACAGAAAGAAACAGCATTATCCCTTTTTCTTCTTAGTTCTTCTCTGACAAATTGCTCCCAGAGAAGTAAAGAACTTCCTGCTCTCTACCTGAACCAGATTTTTAGGAAATGGCCCTTTCTCATTTTCTGGGCAGCTGATAGGAGGGATAACCCAGTCTCTCTTCTGTCTTCTAAGACCATGCTGGGAGTTGGGAAATGTGAGCACTTCTGTCTGGGTTTCGGAGAGAGTGTCCTAAAAGGAAAGGAGATGAAGAACAAAATCAGGTAATTCAGGAGAAATGATACAGGCCCAACAGTTCCACCTACCCAGCCAGCATCTCCAGCATTCTGAGGACAGTTGATGATTTTAACTTAATAACAAAACACAACCCAATGAACCTCTCTGCCATATAATAAAGATGGCATTCTCTTTTGATCCTTCTAATGTCCAGAGTTCAAGTAACCAGTATGCATACACAACTATACATTTGAGAGTTTGATATTATTTTGCAAGTTATTTCAAGCCTATATATATTATACCTGTTGTTTTTAAAAGAACATTACACTCTGATGATGTAATATCAGAGCTTATTCAACAACTGGATATTCAAGTGTTTCAATTTTCTTTTATGTTTTTCCTTGGGGTATAGGCCTCCAAAGTGGAGTTATCAGCCAAGATGAGGTAAGTTTTAGGAATTGGTGCTAAGAACTACTTTGTGATCAATACAAATTCTTTAACCTCATTGTGTTGTTTTATCTATTGAGTTTCCATTTGTTCTAACTAAAGCTGTTGGGATGGGAACCAAAAACGCCCTTTGAGACTTGTATTGAACAGTTTTCATATGTGATAAAGATAGCTTTATGCACACACAGGGAAATAAGATAGTTGAAGATGGAAGCAAAGTTTCTTCCAAATTGTTTAAGTGCTTTAAAGTGATTAACCATAATACTGTAAAGGTTCCAGAGGACAATTCCATCTCCCACTCCCCACATAATCACTGATCACTGTTTGCCAAATGTGATTTAAGCACTATTTCCTGGCTTTTCAAATTTGTTTCAAAATGCACAAGACAGACATGAGATAAGAAATCCTTCCCAGTACTGCATTCCTACATATTAGTTACTCACATACCCAATAACACACACACACTCTCTCTTTCCCTCCCTCCCTCCTTCTCTGCCCTGCCCCTGCTCACGCTGTCTCTCTCTCAAAATAAATAAATAAAACTTAAAAAAAAAAATGTTTCCCATTGAGTCTTCTCTTCCCCTCCCAAGACTCTCCCCACTAGAAACACAAAGAGTAAAATAAAATGATCAGAGGATTGATCTCCTGCTCATTCTCCCTCCAAGAAAAAGACAGTTAACAATTACTGAGTACTTACTGTATGCCTAGCACAGTTATATCATTTCACATGTATTAATTCAGGCACTCATTATTATCTGCATTTACAGATAAGGAATTTCAAGCACAGAGGGGTTAAGTAACTCTCCTATATCTATTCAGGCAGTAAGTGGCAGGGCTATGATTCAGTCCCAGATAGTGTCCATGCTCTTACCCACTATTCTACACTTCCCACAGAAAATACAGATATTTACACTGCGCCATCATTCCGGCTGATCCCTCCCCCCACCTACTCAAAAAAATTCCCAATGATTAGTTCAGTTAGACCAATGGTTCTCAACTAGAGGTGATTCTCCAACCCGGGGGGCATTGGCTGTCTGGAGACATTTTTGGTTATGACAGCTAGGGGCATGCTGCTGGTATCTATCTGGTGGGCTACAGCCAGGGATGCTGCTAAACATCACAACAGAACACCATCCAGCCCCAAATGTGAATGGTGCCAAGGCTAGGGAACCTGCATTAGCCAGAGGACTAAAACAATGGTGAACTTCCAAGAAATGCTCCAACGTACGTGATGGTGGCGGTGATGGCGCACTGCTGCCTTCAGCGTAACTTTGGTGGACAGCTTCCTGCGGCTGGAGTCCCAGGCGTGGACGAGAAAACTCATCTCTGGTTTATGAAGCTGCAGAGGCCGTCTGACGCTAACCACACCATCGCTGCCCACTTTGATTCGCGTGTCATCAGAAAAATAGGCTGTCCTTGGTTGACCGGTGCATCCTTCAAAACTCACTGCAGGGCACACGTCACAGCGATTAGGAAACGGGGCAGATTAAAGACATGAGTGTTCCTTCTCTAAAAAGCAAACGTGGTTCACCCACCAAAAGCCTGACTCACGCAAAACAAGCCATCGTCTGGAGACAGAACAGCAAAGATACCAAAGTAGTCAATATTATCATCATGTTCTTCACAATTACAGGAAGACTGTTCATTGTGGTCTGATTTTCTTTCTTTTTTTCTAAATTTTTTTTTAACGTTTATTTATTTTTGAGACAGAGAGAGACAGAGCATGAATGGGGGAGGGTCAGAGAGAGGGAGACACAGAATCTGAAACAGGCACAGGCTCCGAGCTGTCCGCACAGAGCCCGACGCGGGGCTCGAACTCACGGACTGCGAGATCATGACCTGAGCCGAAGTCGGCCGCCCAACCGACTGAGCCATCCAGGCGCCCCTGATTTTCTTTCTTATCTACTTGTAAACTACAAACAGTGACCTGTCTAGAAAGTAACTTCTTTTCAATAACAAAAGGGACCTCTCCTTCAGTTGGCTGTTGACAATATAAAAACAGACCACTAAGATTACTGAGACAGAATGCTTGCTGAATCCAAAAGTTAGAGACTAAGGTACAGTGAGACATTGCAGAGTCTACATTTAAGTAGCAGGTGGGGTAACTGAGCCTGGGTGGCTCATTTGGTTAAGCATCTGGTTAAGCATCTGACTCTTAACTTCAGCTCAGGTCATGCTCTCACAGTTCGTGGGATTGGGCCTTGAGTTGGGCTCTGCACTGACAGCATGAAGGCTGCTTGGGATTCATTCATTCATTCATTCTCTCTCTCTCTCCCTCCCTCCCTCCCTCCCCTCTCAAAATAAATAAAATAAACATTTTAAATAAATACATAAATGTTGACATTTCAAAACCAGTGGCAAACAATGAGAGAGGGACATGGCATGATGATAACGAGTACGGACTCTGGGGGGTGGCCCCCTGGGGGGCTCAGATGGTTAAGCATCCCACTCTTAATTTTGACTCAAGTCGTGATCCCAGGGTCATGGCATCAAGCTCTGGGTCAGGCTCTGAGCTGTGCGTGGAGCCTGCTTGAGACTCTCCCTCCCTCTATCTCTATCCCTCTCCCTCGTTCACACTCACTCTCTCTAAAGAATATGGACTCTGGAACAGGCTACCTGGTTCAAGTCCCAGCTCTGCTTATTATTAGCTTTGTGACCTTGGGCAAATTAATCTCCCTGTGCCTCAGTCTACCCATCTGTAGAATGAAGGCAATAAAAGCAACTACCTACTAGGGTTGATTTAAGTTTGTTTTTTTAATGTTTGTTTGTTTGTTTGTTTGTTTGTTTGTTTATTTATTTATTTATTTATTTATTTATGAGACAGAGAGAGACAGAGCATGAACGGGGGAGGGTCAGAGAGAGAGGGAGACACAGAATCCAAAGCAGGCTCCAGGCTCCAAGCACAGAGCCCGACGCGGGGTTCGAACTCACAGACTGCAAGATCACGACCTGAGCCGAAGTTGGACGCCCAACTGACTGAGCCACCCAGGTGCCCCTAGGGTTGACTTAAGTTACATCTCTATGTGCTTGGCACATAATAAGCACTATATTAATGTCTGTCCAATTAAGTTTTTGAAAACAAATGTGACTTTGGTTAATCATGTATTCAACCCTCATGAGTATCCCACAGAAGACATTGATAACTGTAAATACTTGTTGAGTGCTAATTCTATTTTTATTATCTCAGGCATAGAGAGGTAATACCTGCTTTCAATCTGATGCAGAAGAGAAACTGATCATTGTCAGGGGAGATAATGAAAGTTGCACAGGAAAGTCTTCAACCTGATCATACAGGGCAGCAAGACAAATGCAAAAGACAGGGAAGGACTACTTGGGTGGGGGAATGTTATGACCAATGACTTCCAAAGTCTACTTAAAACTTCATAGCTATTAAGGTATTAAAACTTAAAGACCACCAATACCCAAAGATGGTGACGCTGGTGGTGAAAAATGTCCTAAAGGGCTCATGCTACAGGTTTCCACCAAGCTCTATGCCAGAAGCTGTGCTGAGCTCTAAGGACAAACTTGTAGACAAGACAGACAAGGCACTGTTCCTCACTGAGCTTAAACTGTTGGGGAAAACATGGACAAATACAGAAATCAATCATCCCAGGAAGTGATAAATGCTAGACAGAAAGGAATTAAAGAGAGTAATACAAGAGTGATCAGAGGAGAGGGGGATTCAGAAAGGCGTAACTATTACTGGATGATGAGAGCAAGCCTCTTGAGGTGGAGGTGGCTGAGCAGAGACCTGAAGGAGACAGTCTTGTAGAAACCTGTCTCAAGAGCCAGCTAGACACAGGGAACAGCTGATAAAGCAGCTCATTCTGGGAACTTCTCAAGGTGGCCTGTTTTCATCCCTTTCAAATACTCCCCCTTCATTTCTCTAGTGTAATTTTTACTTTGTCCAAATGGATATTTTATAAAAACTCCTGCTCGAGCCTATTTTACAAGGCTAGACACCTCTACATTCATGAGGATCACGTCTCTGCCACAAAGTCCTAAAGCCACCCCTAATTCCTGGGCTGCAGTTTTCATTTTCTTCCACCAGGGGCCACCCTTGCAAATGTTTCTGAAGCCAACAGCCACACCCTTTCCAGAGAAAATAAGACCTGACTGGTGTGGGTGGGTGAACACCATGATCATTTCCATTTTGAAGATGAAGATATTCAGAAGATGAAGAAATCCAGGCTTGGAGAGCTTAAGAAAATTGCTTGACATCCTATCCTTAGTGAAAGCAGAGTTGGGACTGGCCCTTACCCTGAGTTACTTAGTCTTATGACCGCGTTCCCTTGCCCCGAAGAGACTGTTAAGGCCCTGGTTTATTTTGCCCCCTAGCTAGAATCCAGGGATGACAGAAATCTGGGGCCACTTTGTACAAGTAACTGGGAGTCGCTATCCAGCCAAACAAAAAGATAGTTCACAGGAAGGGAACAGGGTCCTTCAAATAATCACCCACCCACCCCCCGTCCTCCAGGTTTATACAAAAAAAAAAAAAAAAAAAAAAAAATCACAGCCATGGTCCCACCTCTACCCTCGCCTTATAGGCTGGCTCTATATCTACTATCTGTGACCAGATAATAAACCCAGATTCCACCATGTTCTTGCTGAGTGGCCTTAAACAATATGCTTAAGCCCCCTGGGCCTCCGTTTTCTCTACTGGGACATGAAGGATACCACCATTGATGGAGCCTACCTCTTCAGGGTTTTTGTGAATAGTAACCAAGACAGCAAATGTGATCACATTTTGCAAGTGAAAGAGCAGTGCGAGCAGTAGATAATGATTATTTTTTCTGTGCATTTGGGTAGACAAGCTAGAAGTATTTGCTAGAAGCCAAGTATGTGCTACATGAACAGGGGAACCAAAAATGAGAAGAACAAAGGCAAAGTCCTTGAAGGATGGGCAGACACTGCCTTTTAAGTCTAAAATAGGATCTCCATCTCAAACTAGATGTTTTTCAAATTACCTCCCCCGAACCCATCCCAGCAGAAGTAATGGGGTGATCGGGGGGCGGGGGGGGGGGGGGTGCTGTCACAGAAACAAGGACAAGAGCTGCTCTGGTTTATGCACGGATTTAACTCCTTTCCCCAGTTGGCCCAAATCTGGGCAGTGAAAGTTGGGACAAGCAGGACTGGACTTGCCAAGGGCGGCAGCCTGAACATTTTTAAATGGTTCTGCAAATAACTTTGAGCCAAGGAGCTTAACCAGCTTGGGTCATCTTGTCTTAATGGTGGCTAAGCCCCACCCCTTGAGAAGTGACAAAGAAGTGTGCACTGCCCCAACCTGAATTTCCAGGTGCTCATTAAGGCCCATTATCTTTCTGTGCAATCTGATCCTCTGGGCTGAGAAACCAGAAATTACAAGAAAGATGAGGGAATCTCCAGCTTCAGAAGGCTCCTTGCTTCAACCTTGACAAGGACCAGGCCATGTCTCAGAGCCACAGTGACCACTAATGGCAGCATGGGGGACTCAAACAAGAAAAAGAGAATCAGTCCATGAGGACAGGGTATATTTGAACGTTTCCATAATAAAAAATTAAACAAAAATAAACATAAAGCCAGCAAGGGATTAAGTAAGTGTTCTTTAAGTCAGGATGACCTCCTTTCCTAAAACTGGTCATTTGGTCATTTGGTCTAGAAACCAAAATCCCAGTGACAAGAGCCAAGAACCCAGGTGGCCATCTCTAGATGTGGACATCTTTTCACTGCAATAACATCATCCCCACCACCACCAAAAACCACAGCCTCGACTAATAGCTTCAACTACCTTTTATCTACTATTCTCTTAATATTTTTACACACTTGTAGAACACTAAGTGTCAGGCTCCATTCTAACCACTTTACAAATATTAACTCACTCCATTCCGGAACTCCTTTTCACATGTGGGGAACAAACCCAGGCAGGCCGTGAGGCCCAGAGCTGGGACTGGAACCCAGGCCGTCTGAGAGTTCTTGCTCCTAACCGCCTGGCCTCATGGTGTTCTCTACAAGCCAGACCCTTGCACTGTGCTCTTTGTGTTGTAATTCCTCCTCACCTTCTGCCACCCTTTGGGGTAGGGACCACTACCTCCGCTTTCTTTGTCCTCAATTATATGCTTGTGACTGGAGGGGCTGAGCTGTCTGGCTCCAAAGTGAGCATTCTTCACCACTGTTTCCATTTGCAAAATGGGGACATGCTTATCTAGCAATAATAAAATAAAAAGGAATACATATTAAGAAGAAAAAGTCTTTAAACATCCCCCAACAGTAGGCAACTCTACCCACCAGGAGCCTAATGGTAATTGTTGGGTGGGAGGGGAAGATTCAAAGTGTGGTTGAAGTGGGGGCAGGGGGCGATTCTGATTTTTTTTTTTTTTTTTAATGTTTATTCATTTTTGACAGGGAGAGAGACAGAGCATGAGCAGGGGAAGGGCAGAGAGAGAGGGAGACACAGAATCTGAAACAGG